AAGTCTGGCGTCTCTGGTTCTACTGGTGTCCGGAGAGTCATCTGCACACTTGTATGTAGCTGTAGGTCAACTGCATTAGCTGCATTGCTGGGGAGAGCTCCAAGGGCATGCTTGTCTGTTCTGTTGTTGATAGACATTTGGGAAATTTCCAGATTGTTGCTTTTATGAATGGTGCTGGGAGTCCCTGGGTAGTGTAAAAGGTTAAACACTAGATGACTGACTGCAAGATGGTGGTTCTGATCCACTCAGAGGCTCTTTAGAAGAATGGCTCCATGATATGCTTCTGAAAGATCACCTGAAAACTCTCTGGAGCTGATCTACTTTGTACACACAGGAGTGAAGTAAGTTAGAATTGCCTCAATGGCAATGAACATGTAGTGATGAATGGACATTCTAGGGCATGTCTTCTATGGACATATGTCCTTATATAGCCCGGTTCTGTGTCCAAGACTGGTATTGCTGAGTCATAGGGCATTTGAATGTTCAACATCAGTTGAAATGGCCAGTTTTCCAAAGTGGTTGTACCAGTTTATACTCCATGCAACAAAGAAAAAGAGTCAAGAGTGATTTCGAATCTATACTGATGATCCTAGATAAGTTTTCCCCATGGACAGACAAAAAAAGAACAAATCCTGGAGACGGTGCAGCCAGAGTGCTCCTTGGAAACAAATAATGATGCCTCTTCTTACATACTTTGGATATGTTGCTAGGAGAAGCTATTCCTTGGAGAAGGACATCATACTTGGAAAGTTGGAAAGTCAACGAAAGAGAGGAAGACCTTCAACCAGATGGGTTGACATAGTGACTGCTGTCAACGGGCTGGCGGATGTCAGAAAGTGAGAGGACAGAGCAGGAAGTTCAGATCTGTTGTCAATAAGGTCGCAATGGGTTGTACTTGACTTGATGGCACCTAATAACATCAGGATAATTTCTTTAAAATAACCTTTCTCATTTGTAATGTTAGGCTACTATGATGACACTATGGAAGACCCTGATAGAGACTCAGACAATGAGAAGCCAACCTTTGTACAGGATACACTCTAGGGTCCTTAGAAATTGCGGCAGATGACACACATGCTACAAAACTCACTGGTCTCCGGAAAGCCCAACAAAAGAACTCTTAAGTTCATCTTGTTCAATGCAGGCGTCACCTAACACTAGCTCCTCCTATCCATGCACATGACTCTCCTTCTTGGTGTCATGTTTGACTTGGAGATACAAAACAAAAGCAAGCCCAGAAAGCATTGATATTTGGTGTTCTGAGAGATTTCTCCCAGAACCCCACACACTCAACTCCTTGCAGCTCCAGTCCTTCTTGGTTTAATCATGTTGTCCATAGTTGGACTTGTTAGAATATCTAGAAAGGAATCCGCAAAGGACAGTCTACTGGTATAGAATGGAGAATAAAGATAGTGCATCTTTCCAGAGTGTCTGAGAGAACCCACGTACTGAAGTGTAAAGGAATTGACTGGGCTTCAACCAGCTAAAGCTTGAAAAGCTATTCTTCGTCCTCTTCTCTTTCCTTTTTCTCCTTGCCACTCCCCCTACTGCAGTCGGCATGTTTCCTTAAGAAAACTCATTGAAGTGCAACAATGAATGAATGAATACCCAAAATCTCTGTAAATGTTCATTAAAATTAATAAAATTTAATAATAAATTTTAAAAAAGAAAGCTCATGGAGGTCTTGAGGCAGTTACTGTGGAAGACAGGTTGGGGCCGTCTTGTAGGTGTGGAGATCTGCTTACCCTCAGTAGCATCTGGGGGGTGTCTAAGGCTGTAAATTGAAGTGGAAGGAGCTGTCCATCTTTCCCCCATACACACTCCATGACACAACAATTTCATGCTTAGGAATCAATCTCAGACTCAAAGCCAATGGGTTGGTTCTGACTCGGAGTCACCGTCCACTGGGTCATGATGCGATAGCAATTGCCTGTTTTTCTCCTGAGGAGCTGCTGGTGGATTTGACCCGATGGAGGTATGTGCCCCGTGCTGTATAGCTCACTATAGAGTGCCTTTCCTAGGAGTTATTGTTGTTGTGTACCGCTGAGCTGGAAATGACTCCTAACTGACCCTCCAGTGGGTTTTCAGAGGCAATTAATTGCATGGGAGGAGATTGCTCATCTTTTTTCCCGCGGAGCCCCTGGTGGATTCAAACCATGTGCCTTTGGGTTGGCAGCACAACTCCTTACCACCAAGCCATGAGAGCTCGTTGCCTTGTTGTTGGTAAGTGCCATAGACTTGAGTACAACTCATAGTGACCCTGTGAACAACAGATCTGAACCCTGTCCATTCTGTGCCAACCCGATTATCCTCAACACATTGGAGCCCATTGCCATAGACGCTGTATCTATTTCATGGAGATTCTTCCTCTCCTTTGCTAACTCTCCACCTTTCCACACACAATATCCCTTTTCAAGGAATAGTCCCTCCTAACAACATTCCCAAAGGGTGTGAGGCAAAAGTTTCATAATTCTTTCCTTCAATGAGAGGTCTGGCTGCACTTTCTCCAAGACATAGCTGTCTGTTTTTTTGGCAATCAATGGATGCTTGCCTATCTGCATTAAAAGTATTCGGGAAGTAATATTTGACACCTCAGCTGGAAACAACCCAAAATGCCCATCAACAGGACAGTGGACAAATAAATTGTGCGTATTCATTCCGTGAAATACTATATACCAGTGAAAACAAACCAAGCACAGCTACAAGCGCTAACAGATGGAGCTAACAAGATGACGTTGAATGAAAGAAGTCAGATGCCACAAAATGCATATGGGCTGGTTCCACTGATGAGAAAATGAAAGAGAAGCAAAGCAAATCTGTACAACTTAGGAATAAGGTGGCAGCACTATAGAGCAAAGATGTTCATCATATCAAAGAAAATAGTTATCATTGGCAGGAAGGAGAGTGTGTGAGGGCTGTTTCTGGAGAACTAGCAATGTTTCAGTTCCAACCCTGGACCTAGTTCCTGAGTGCTGTTTGTATAGCAGTTTCTTAACCTGTACGATGATGTTTTCTGTGGGTTGTTTTCTGTATGTTGCTGCAATGTCCTTGCATGAGAAATAAAGGTAGTGGTTCCAGAGAGAACGGAGCACCATGCAGATGATGCCACCCAGGTTCAGCCAACTAGGACCTGCTCAGTGACTTGTTTCTAGTAGTTTGACTTCAGTTCTCAAAAGTGGGGTGGATCCTTTAGTCAATCGTGTGGGGACCCTGCGATTTAAATTATTTCAAAGGAGTGCCCCAAACCATTCTTCCAGCTTTTCCCAAAAAGGGGAGCTTCATGGACCAGATTTATACAGCGACTGACTCACTCCACCTCTCTAGACACGAATCCCCTTCTCTTCCTAGAAGTTACTTCCTTCCTCCTGCTCGGCTCTGGTGGAAGATGGAGGGAGTGTAAGGCTGTCTGCCACCCAAGTGGAGCCGTGGGGGACAGGGCGTCCTCCTCGATCACCTGTGAGGAGGGGGGCTCTGTCCTTACCCCACCCCGCCTCCCGACCAGCCGGCTCTCCCCTCTCCCCCACAAATTCGGGTGAGCCCCGGTCCCCCAGCGCCTCCGCGATTGGTCCCGGGCCATCATGTGCCACCACTCTGGGTGGGTCTTTCTCCCGGTAAACTCATCAATTGCTCCTCTTTGGAGCTTCGCTGGCCAGTGGTTCGGACCTTTGCGCCCACTTCCCTCCCCCTTCCTCCCTCTGCCCTCACCCCTCCAACCCCAGTCTTATTTTAGCAAAACCAAGAGGAGGAGGAGGAGGAAGAAGGCATTCGGCAGGGGGGAATGCGAGGCATTGCAGCACCAGGAGCAAGTACTGAGGGGCCAAGGGAACGACACAGATCTCTCTCTCTACCCCCCCCCCGCTGGGAATTTTCAGGATTTCACTGCTGCAATTTAACCCCAAGATGAGACACTTGAGCGGAACGCTGCGCGCACACACACACACTCACACCCTCGTGAGCAGGAGCGACAGTCGAGGGTGATTCAGGAAGGAAAAACCAAACCAACCTAACAAACAAACCAAAAAAAGCAAAATCCGAGGACCCTGCGGCTTCAAGACCCCCTAAGAGACCTCCGGAGCGCCCCCTCGCCCTCCCCCTCTCTCCTTCCCCCCTTAATTTTCTCTTACTTTGATTCCCCCCCCTTTTTTTTGGACTACAGCTCTTTCAGCATTTTGCCCCTCCGCCCCCAAGCGCTAGAAGTCAAGCAACACACGAGAAGGGGATATTTTGGGGTTCCCCTCCGCACCCCCACCAGCAAAGACCTGGTGTTTCTTCTTTTTCTTTCTTTCTTTTTTTTTTTTT